AAATCGGAAATCACCTGAGCTTAGGAGAAGAAGAAAGGGTTTGCAAAGAAATGTAATGGTTTATTTATGAGAGGGGACATAAATTGTTTGAAAGGGCAAGACAACCTTTATGTAATAGAGCAAAAAGAAGTTCATCAACTCTCTAGAATGAAAGAAAATGAAAGATGAAAAAGCAATGGTCAATATTAAATCTCAAAATATAACGACACTTGAGTGCATTCGAGCACCTTCAGAGAAGCGTCACGCCCTAACCTATGAACTTGGGTTAGCATTTAATTCAATGGTTAGACTAGCATTTAATTCAGTTATCCCCAAATTTCTTCCACTTCTCAATATCATATCTCAGTTAAAGGTACTCGACCCAATTCTTTGAAAGACTTCATATATATCACACCTTGACAAGCCCTATGGGAAACTGTTTTGGGTTGGCCATAGGCTCAATAATCGCATATTGTATATAAACCACAATAGAAAAAAGGTTTATTTTATTCATAATTCACCCTATCCTTTTATTCATAGAGTGACTTGGGCATTGGAATATTAATCTTGTAGGTCTACCCTGCACAACCGCACTAGAGCAGCTTACAACACCGCATCAAGAACCTACACAAACAACTCTAGTTCCCGAACAAAACAATTGTCAACCATGGAGTTTTGTTACAGAAATCCAGAAACTTCAATCTCACTACTTACTCGTATACTGACTAGGGAGGTAATCCAGATGATCGAACCTCTATGTATGCATATATCATCTTCTTTGGAAACAATTATATCTCTTAGTTCTCCAAAAAGTGAAGGATAAATGTTCGTACGTCCATTGAAGTTGAATATCGTGTTGTTGCTACAACTACAACTAATCTTATGTGGCTCGTCAACTTACTTCAGAAACTGCGTGTTCAAATGTGTTCAACACTGGGAATACCACGTGATAACATTGGTGCAACTTATCTATGTTCAAATCATGTTCTTCACTCTCGAACGAAACACATTTAATTAGACTGCCACTTTGTGAGAGATGACAAAAACTTACAAGCCTCACATCAATGTCTCCATAAAATATCAACTTGCAAACATAGATATACTAAATTGTTATAGATGCTACCAAATTCAATGAATTATCATCCAAAATCAAAATTACCAATGATAATTTTGTCTTTGAGGAGCGTATCAGTGCACCTCAGTTGTACATATTAACAAATCTGTGACCAAGATTAATTGACTTTCATTTGCAGTTATTGGATGCAACAATTACAATTTAGTGACTATTTGCAGTGTACATCTAACAAATTTGCAAGTTGGCCATATCTCTAACATTAATTGACTTCATTTGCAGTTATTGGATGCAACAATTATAATTTAGTGGTAATTAGTACATTAGTTGGCTATAGCTTAACTACCTCTCTAACAATAGAATTTGTGACCAGTCTGTATTGCCAACGAGAGTTGTTACAGGGACAATGTGGCATTGTTGATGACCTGCTCTGCTCAATCATGGTAACACAAAACCATTTTTTACTTTCACATACACCCTCTGATCACTATTATAAACAAATGTACCACAAAAAATAAAATTTCTTATAATAGTGATTGGATAGTGTACATAAACCAACTTTGGTGTGGCACCCAATAACTTTCTTTTTCCAAAGTCAGTTTTTCATTTTATTAACTGAATTATAGTAATTATAATATAGTAATTGTTTGTGCACATATAAAAAAAAGCCAGATGTATTTATTTTATTTTTGGTCCAACAATTGGAATCTATTGATGGGGTGAATAAAATGGTCCTAAAATAAAATTTGGACCACTAATTGCTAGGTAATCCAACTGGTAGCAGGACCAAATAAATGAACCTATAAACTGAGTGGTAGCTTTCAAATAGAAGTCACAAATTTTAATAAAGACCTACAAAAGTGTATATATGTGTGTGTGCAAAATTAGCATATCAGAAACTTGGATCTACCCATTTGGCTATAGTGCCTTATGGTATGGCCAACATCTCACATGTGAATTACTCAAATAACATAACATGATCTTTTCCCTACATGCTTTGGAAGATTCTTCATTTTCCATCAAATTTACTCATTATTTTAACTTCTAAGGCACCCATTTTTTGTTGGAAGAGTTCTTATTGGATGAGTTATAGAACCAACTGTCTCAAATCATAAACTTAAGTGTAACATTGAGTTTGGTTTTACTTAATTTGAATCGGTTTTTGAGAGAGAAAATGAATTCAATTAACATACATGCTATGGTGACACTGAAAACATTACACCGTAGTTTTATAACGTATTTTCTAGACTTTATTTTATGTGTGACATAAATTTCAATTTTCATAAAAATAATTAATAAATAAATGAAATAAGTAGACTTTATGTCAAATTTGATGTAGCTATATCATTTCTCTTCAATAAAATAAATTAATAATCGGTGTATTTTACAGTATTTTAGTATTGTTTAGTTTTACAATATTATTTAAAGAAACTTGATTTAAATAGATAAAATATGGATTGATTATATGGTATGTTTGTTTTAATTTTAAAAAAGGGTTAATACCTATTTTCATCCCTGACATATGGGGTGTATTTGAAAAACTCCCCTGCCAAAAAAAAAGTTTCAATTGTTACCTTGACAAATTTTAAAAGTTTCAGTTTTTACCTTGAAGATGCCACATCATCTAAAAGGCTCATGTGGCTTATATTTTTGTTATATTTTTATTATTATTTTAATGACATGGCTTGATTAGTTGTCATTTTTAATTAATTTTTAATTTTTAATTTCATATGGCATTTATATTAATATTTTATTAATTGAGTGTTAATTCAAAGTTAAAAAAATTTTGTCCTTCAGTAGGAATCAAATCATGGACATACTGTTTGCAATGAAGGCTTCTTACCACTAGACCAATGCATTTTCTTTGTTACATATATGCATCAATAAATATTCATATGATTAACATATTAATTACAATTATCAATAAATTTTCTTAACTAGTTGGTTTAAATAATTTTTAAAAAAATGTTTTACATATTTTATCTTTTTACTGTAACTTTTTTTAAATTTTAAATTTTCAAAAATCACTTAAATTTAAAAAAATCACTTAAATTTTCAAAAATCACTTAAATTTAAAAAAAATCACTTAAATTTAAAAAAATAAGTTAAATTTAAAAAAATCACTTAAATTTTCAAAAATCACTTAAATTTAAAAAAATCACTTAAATTTTCAAAAATCACTTAAATTTAAATCACTTAAATTTAAAATCACTTAAATTTTCAAAAATCACTTAAATTTTCAAAAATCACTTAAATTTAAAAAAATCACTTAAATTTAAAAAAATAAGTTAAATTTAAAAAAATCACTTAAATTTTCAAAAATCACTTAAATTTAAAAAAATTACTTAAATTTTCAAAAATCACTTAAATTTAAATCACTTAAATTTTCAAAAATCACTTAAATTTTCAAAACTAAGTGATTTTCAAAACTAAGTGATTTTTGAAAATTTAAGTGATTTTAAATTTAAATGATTTAAATTTAAGTGATTTAAATTTAAGTGATTTTTGAAAATTTAAGTAATTTTTTTAAATTTAAGTGATTTTTGAAAATTTAAGTGATTTTTTTAAATTTAACTTATTTTTTTAAATTTAAGTGATTTTTGAAAATTTAAGTGATTTTTGAAAATTTAAAATTTAAAAAAAGTTACAGTAAAAAGATAAAATATGTAAAACATTTTTTTAAAAATTATTTAAACCAACTAGTTAAGAAAATTTATTGATAATTGTAATTAATATGTTAATGATATGAATATTTATTGATGCATATATGTAATAAAGAAAATGTATTGGTCTAGTTGTAAGAAGCACTGCAAACAGTATATCCATGGTTCGATTCCTGCTGAAGGACATAATTTTTTTAATAACAAAAATATAAGGAACTTTTTTTTGGCATGGGGTTTTTCAAATACACCTCATATGTCAGGGGTGAAAATAGGTATTAACCCTTTAAAAAATGGATTTTTTTTTCGTATTTTTGTAAATAGATTTTATAAAATTACTTTTTAAAATAATAAATTTTTTTATATTCGTTTTTTTCTAAATATATTAATTTTGATATCCTATAATATAAATATATATTATTAAAGATTAATATAATCAAAATTACAATTTTTAAAAAAAAATTATATTTTAAAAATAATTTTTATGAAAGCCTATTTAAAATAATTTTAAAACTAAGTGATTTTTTAAAATTTTATATTCAAAAAGAGTTTTAATAAAAAAAAATGAAATATTTAAAATAATATTTTAAGAATACTTATTTAAATCAATTTTTTATTTGAAATTTTTATAAAAAGTTTCGTTACAAATTTTTTTATTCAAAATTTTAATAACCCTATAAAAATCATTTTTTTAAAAAAACCGAAACAAACGAATTGAGTTGGTTTTTTTTAAAAACTAAACAATTTTTTTAATACTGTACATTTTTTATACTGCTAAAATAAATATATAAGTTACGATAAAAAAATTAATATATAATAAAAGTATGAATACAATGGGATACAAATTCAAGTAAAATTATCATGTATTATCAAAGAGAATTTTAGAGCTTTCTTGGAGCCTTTTATAAGCTTGTCCGTGATTATGTGGTTCCGTTTTTTTTTATTTGTTTGGTTTTAGTTTCTCTTATTTGTTTAGAATTATTAGGTTGTAATATTAAATGTGGTGATTTCTTAATTTATTTCATGATTTTCTTATGTATTACGAAAAAATTTATAAATAGTTTTCAAAATTAAAAATATATTTTTAATATGCGTCTAAGTCTAATAAAGTATACATAGAAATCGGATTTAATTTCGGTTTGGAATCGGGTGGATATTTCCGGTTTTATTCTTTATAGAAATCAGAAAATATTATTGAATTGCATCATAATCTCACAATACAATTCATAACATAAACATAGCAAATACATTTAGGAGTTGCAAAATAAACATAAATCAAACATTACAAATCAACGTCTAGGTGGACGTTGCAACATTATGATAATATCATTGACCGATCTTGTTATAGTCGTATCTAGCTCGATCAGAACTTTCTCCTCAAAACTGGTAAAAGTATTCCACATAACCTGTAGATCATCTTCGTTCTTCAGCTTACGATTGATGAACACAAGCTTCTCATATTTGTCAACAGATGGTGAGCGGTACTCGATCTTCACAACTTTCCGATTCTCACTATAAGGTATAAGTTCCTGCAATATTTCGCACACATCTTCAATAGGGGTGTACACGGTGAACTTCGCGAGATGGTGTAGCGCCGGTAAAGTGTCAACTCCAACATGCCATTTGATGTTTAATTTCATGTCAATTTCTGGTTTTTGGTGTTATGGTATGAAAAAATATAAGAAGTGAGGTTTTTTATAGTAGTTGAAAGTAAACATGAACCATACAAATCATATCTCTGTGTCAGTGATAGAATAGACAATTAATTTCTGGTTTTTTATTAAATGGAACCGGAATTATATTACCGGTTAAGGCCCTGGGAGTAAAAAACTAAAAACAGAACAGAAACAACAACTCTAATAAAAAAGCCTCTTGTATTCAAACATTGTATTTTTGGTCAAACTATAAAAATGACTATATTTCCACATCATAATACATGAACAAAATGACGTTAACAATAAAATGATACCTAACTACTTGAATGAGCCGAAAAAGTATCACCGGATAAATCCACCGGTGGAACCCCTTTTGACTCTTCCCTATTTTTCTATTTCAATTTGGTTCAACTTGTTGTATTCTTGCATCCTTTTAATGAATTGGTCCAGCCAGCTCTCGGATGGAACTGTGAAATGAAGCGCCCACTCCGGTGATGTAGGTGGCATAGGGCATCTCGGTTTCAAATACACTTGAACAAAATATCGCGGATTTGAAACCCACCCAACACATATGATACGATCATTGGAATTTGGTGTTGGAGCCGTGCACAGAGGGAAATAAGTCTCTGAAAAACCATATCTTGTAAGATTAATACACACCCTCTTATATGCACTTTCTATGAGATGACCCATTTCAGGGAAGCACATACATTTATCCTCTGGCGCAACTCCAACCTTGGGAGGTACAAGTGCATGATATATTTCCTCAACCTTCTCTTTACTCTCTAGCACACGTGTGTATAATTCTTTATTACCTGTCAACTCCCTGATCAGGGTATCTCGGACAATATTGTAATACTCTTCCCCTCTTCCAAGCAAACCAAAAACAGCTCAAAAACCAGAGTTATCGTCACCCCTGACATTGAAGATTCGTTTAATGTACTTGTGCATAAAAATCAACATGTGATCGATGAATGTTATTTTGGTTAGAGTCGGTGTAGGAGGTAGTTTGCTAATACGGGCTCCTTTGAAAGCACTTTTCTAATATTTCGGTGTAGGTGAATCGGGAAATTTTTTATCAATGTGTTCAAAATATGAAGGACTCCTCGTAGTTGAACTGTTGCCCGGTGTCGGTTTCACCTTCTTATGTGCCCTTTTAGTTTTTATCGGTTGGGATGGTGGTTTCAAGTCTGTGGTCTTCAGGAACACAATCTTCCTCAATTATTCTTTGATGTGGAGTTTGGTGGCGTCATCAGCTTTCAAAAATCTTTCTTGTATCACTTCTCATTCGGTCAAGATGGAGATATTTGATTTATCGGTTTTCATTTAACCGTCATCGTCAAAACTTAGTCTCTTCCAATGACCTGAGACCTCGTCCATACGTATCAGGCTATTAACTTTCATCTTCTTAGACATGACATAAGCACAAGGGAGATCATATGTTTTCACAATTGTGCAACCACACTTTGAGCTGTTAGAACATACATTAGAAGCTCGTTTGGCCTCGTAAAAAATATAATTAAGAGCTGCCCGAGATATGTTACCAACCAACTGAGAATATAGTGTGTTGTCTTTGAGCCTGTGTTCCAACACCGTGATACTACGACCAAATGTTATCGGTATCTCGTTATGCTGGTTTAGTAGCATCTGGTTCACAGATTCTCAACCCGTAATCAAATCACCCTTGTTATTTCCCAGCCAATTCTTTAGACATGTATATGCAGACTCGACTCGATTTGTTGTTGTATTATCGATGTGCATAACCTGATCGGTACAGGCACAAACAACCTTCTTCTTAACCTGATCAAGAATTGTGCTTTCAACATATTTCAATAGATCGGGATATTTCATGCAAACATTCCTGAATTGTAAAACAACATCATCGTATAGCTCTTATATAGATGCATTTATTATAACATTCCATGCATCCATAATTTTCTCCACAATGACGCCCGCCTTGTCCAATTTTCTACATTCACCTGCAACCTGTTTTGTCCCCACCTCGGGTTTAACCCGACTTATCACATTTTTAGTAATATGGTACCTACAAAGTAATGCGTAAGAAGTGGGAAATACAATTGCAACCAAATTCATTAATGTTGTATCTCGATCGGTAATAATGACTTTCGGCATATCTTTTTGATCCTTCAACATTGATCTACAAACCTCTAAAGCCCATGAAAATTTGTCCTCTTTTTTGCACTCTTGAAATGCAAAACCAACAGAATACGTCTTCTCAGTCGACGTAACACCAACAATTTCCAACAATGAAAGCCTATACTTGTTGGTCTTATACGTTGAATCAATTATGAGCACGGTGGGAAACGTATTGAACAATTTAACAGAATCGGGATGAGTCCAATAAATATCTCTTAATGTTACCCCATCACCACCTTCTCGGTGCCTACAAACATAATTGTTTTCATCTAGAAGTTTCAAGAGGTGTTGATCTCAGTTTGATCCTCCCTAAGCGCTATTTTGGTTTGATGGCGCTTATTGTAAACTTGTTTGATATTTGATGTTCTCTCGGGTCTTTTGCGCTTCAAGGTTGTAAGTATGTTTTTTGGCGGTACCAAATTCAAAGTCATATCAGAAACACATGTCTTCTCATCCGAAAGGAGATGACATGCAATTGAATGACTGGCTAACTTTTGACTTAAATCATGATTGTGTAAACCGCATAACACATTAAATTTCCATTTCTTATTTGCCATAAGATAACCATGCAACCTAAATGGACATTCACATTTTCTTGAACCGGTGTCGTCGCGTTTCAAATTTTGGATACGGCGTATGTAGTTCCCACTTCTTTCGCATGTCAAAATCACATATGCATTTATTTTATCCGTACCATTATCGGACCTTCCAATCACAACACCAAATCCTAGTTTCGTAGCCTCTATACGAATCCACTACACCATGTCTTCACGTAATTTAAATTCTTCTACAGTTTCAAATTGCTCACGAACATCTACCACCTTAATCACAAGAGGAGAAACTACGAGAGACGAAACAACTTGAGACACATTAGATTTGAGAATGTTATCGGGGTACACCATACTTAATGTTAGATAAAACAAAAAACTTATTAACATGTCACATTGACAGGTTGTTGTCAAAATAAACACAGACAGAAACCGGAATTTAACTTCCAGTTCTGTTCAACTAACAACCGGAAGTATACATCTGGTTTATACGTAACCTTTTTCTACAGAAAAGAACAAATTAATGTAGATTATAGGGGTTGAAATGAATTTCAGGTAAACGGCATAATAGAACCGATTAATGTGATTTCATCTGGAATTATACTTCTAGTTATATATAAAATATCAAGATGGCAACAAAATTCAACCTTCCCGCTAATAGACCCGGAAATAGAATTCCGATTTAGAACCGAAAGTATATCTCTGATACCGTTTTTTGTATTTTGAAGGGTGAAATCACATTTGACCTGTTTTGTGCAAAATATGGTGCGAATCGGAAATGCATTTCCAATTTTCCGATGAGCAATTTTGGAATTGTATAAGGTGCCCATTCTTCATATGGGGTGGGGTAAGAAATTCTCTTAAATGTGAGGATCTCAAAATACTAAAATAATGCACACGTACACACTTAAATATTTTTTTTTAAATTTCATTAATTTTTAAAATAAAGGCTAATTAATTAGGAGGTAAAAATCACTCTCTAATCGATTAAGACACTTTTTTAATCGGTTATGATGCAAATGATGCTCAAAAGTATACATACAAGGAACAAAGTAAGAAAGACATGAAAACTCTCTTATTGATTCTTCAGTGTGTGTGTGTATCTGGATGTTTTTTAGAAGATCGTCGAAGAATAAACGACCAAAGAAGCATGGGATAAGTTGAAGAAGTTGTATGGTGGATATGAGAAGATGAAGAGAGTAAAATTGCATACCTTGAGAATGCAATTTGAGATGACTCAAATGAAAGAAAATGAGTCAATCGTAGAATTTTTCTCACGAGTGGTGCTGCTAATAAACCAGGTGAAGATGTGAGCTGAATCAATCAATAATTTGTAAAAAATCGAGAAAGTGTTTATACCTTTAACTAAAAGCTTTGATTACATTATGATTTCGATAGAAGAGTCCAATAACCTAGGTGAGATGAAGTTAGAAGAACTTCAATCTTCATTAGAGTTCCATGAGATGAGATTGAAGCAAAGAAGCTCAAAGAGAAAAGGCAGTTAAACTGGCGCTGCAAGAAAAGTTCATCAAGAAAGCTAGAAAAGGAAAAGAAAAGTAGAGAAAGAATCTTACTAGTGCTGAGAATTCAGGAAAGAATTCAAAGAATCACAATGATTTAATCAAGAAAGTAATGTTCAACAAGAATTTGAGGGAGAATATTGACATGAAGGAAATGCAGTGCTATGATTATCAAAGACTTCTCCATTATGCAAGATACTGATATCTAAGCAAGGAGTTGAGGGAAAAATATAAGGAAAATGGTCAATTTTCTTATGCAGGAGGAAGTGACTCTAATGATGTGTTGCTAATGGCCAACACTCAATCTAGAGATGATCAAGCTAAAGTATGGTATCTAGATTTAGGGTGTAGCTACCACATGGCTAGTAACAAGAATTGGTTCATACAGGTTGGCTAGAATCAACTCAGCATGACAAAGAGGATAGCCATGGTGAAGTTGTGTTGCAAGAGTAAGCATTTTCTTAGTAACTTGAAGTGACTTGGTGCAAAAAACAAAATGAGATAACCACAAAGCCAGAAAAGCTATGTGTTCCACTTCAGATACAGTGGTACTCGATTTGTCGTGGAAATGATTGATGAATATGGTATACGTGGGCTTCGTGGCCGAAAACCCGATAGGATCTTCAGACAGATCCTCAGGGTCGAAGTAGTCACCCGTTGGTCGAAGACCAGTAATGGAGGCTATATCAAAGAGAGTTGGAGTTACCATTCCACAAGGCAAATGGAAGGTAAAATGTGTGTTGTCCCAAAAATACAATGA